CAGTAACTTAAGATAAATTTAGAAGTTTTTAAATCCTTTTCAAAAAAGTGCTCATGTAGGTGACTAAAAACATACAATAAAAATACTTCCATAACACAACATTGCAATCCTTTGTATTAGCTAAATTTTTCAGAATCAAGTGGTAACAAAGGACAAACTGTCCTACAGGTGAAAAGTGTTTCTTAAAATTGAGCTAAATTCATTATGACTAAACCATTTTTAAAGTTAGAACATGTCAAAAATATTTGGAAAATATTTATAGTGATGGGATTTTAAATTATATATTTAGTGGCAGCAAGTATTTCCCAAAGTTTTGTTCTTGATTCATTGAAGGGTTACAGAGAAGATTCTTCTAATGTAAGAAGTTAACTCTTTCTTAGGAGAAAATTATTATAAAAATACCTAATGCAGAATTTTTCTCAGTCAGATATCTAATAAGGCATATGTTCAGTTATTGATTTAAAGCCTAAGTAAATAATTTTTGCAAAAGTAAGACATACAGCAGAAAAAAAATTCTTTAAGAATATATATTTCTTGGGGCGCCTGGGTGGCACAGTCGGTTAAGCGTCCGACTTCAGCCAGGTCACGATCTCGCGGTCCGGGAGTTCGAGCCCCGCGTCGGGCTCTGGGCTGATGGCTCGGAGCCTGGAGCCTGTTTCCGATTCTGTGTCTCCCTCTCTCTCTGCCCCTCCCCTGTTCATGCTCTGTCTCTCTCTGTCTCAAAAATAAATAAACGTTGAAAAAAAAAATTAAAAAAAAAAAAAGAAAGAATATATATTTCTTGAATGTTAAAAATTGGGGACAGTTCTATCCCTTTAGATAATTTTTTTTATTAGTTAAATGAAATCAATTTTGTTTTCAAATTAATTAAAATTAGAATCTATGTTTCACATATATTTTTAGATTGATCATATGATATTTTATTCTCTACATCAATAATCATTCTTTTTTTTAAGTTTATGTATTTTGAGAGAGAGCCCACGGGGGAGGGGCAGAGAGAGAGCGAGAGAGAGAGACAGAGAGAGAGAGAGAGAGAGATGGAGAATCCCAACCCAGGCAGTCTCCACATTGTCAGCACAGAGCCTGACACAGGGTTAAACTCAAGAACCATGAGGGGTGCCTGGGTGGCGCAGTCGGTTAAGCATCCGACTTCAGCCAGGTCACGATGCTGTGGTCCGTGAGTTTGAGCCCCGCGTCAGGCTCTGGGCTGATGGCTCAGAGCCTGGAGCCTGTTTCCAATTCTGTGTCTCCCTCTCTCTCTGCCCCTCCCCCGTTCATGCTCTGTCTCTCTCTGTCCCAAAAATAAATAAATGTTGAAAAAAAAATTTTTTTAACTCAAGAACCATGAGATCATGACCTGAGCCAAAATCAGGAGTCAGTTGCTTAACTGACTGAGCCACCCAGGTGTCCCAGTAATCAGTCATTTCTTGTGAAATGTCAGCAAATATATGTAATGTATGTTAAGTATATTAATGTACCTAAATAGACTTGATCCTTTATATTTATTATAGAATATTAAGCACTGAAGATGATTTTCTTATTGATCTGTTTAAAGATGGACATACATACAAGTAGGAAATTTTAAGTTAGCAAATACAATATGGTGTTTATTATTAACAGATAGTTCAATGTATCACATGTCCATTGAAAACACTTTCAGTTTTCTGTAACTTTGATTGGAGAAATTCATTAATCCAAAAACTTCTTGAGTTACTATTATATGCTAAGACTGTATTAGGTGTAAAAAGTACAAAGAAGATTAAGACATTATCTTTAACATCAAGAATTTCAGGGTCTCATTAAAGAAACTTTATATATGAAGCCATCAGTACAAACACTGTGATCCATGCTGTAATAAGAAAATGATTGGAAAGTCTGCCTAATTAGGTATTTGAAGAATTTTTTTCCTGAAATAGTTCTATTCATATGCAGTTGATTTCAAACAGTATAAAAATAAACATTTTACTTTCAATTAATAGTGGAAAATTTTTCGGGGCATCTGGGTGACTCAGTTGGTTGAGCATCAGACTCTTGATTTTTGCTCAGGTCATGATCCCAGGGTTGTAGGATCCAGTTCCTCATCAGGCTGCAGGCTGAACGTGGAATCTGCTTAAGATTCTCTTGCTCTCTCCCTCTGCTGCCTCTTCCTTGCTCACTCTCTCTCAAATAAAATAATAGTAGAATATTTTTTTCTACCTTAGATGCTCTTATAGTATCACACACAGAGAGAGAGAAAGATGCAGATAATGTAAAATAATGCATTATTATATTATTTTTAGCACTAGAATGTGTTTTAAAATGAATAGTAAATCATTTAAAGTCACTGTTCCAAGACTGAGGAGGGGAGAGAACAAAAAGAAATATAATGTAATTTGTAAAATTCATTCTCTTGAGATATGGCTTGGATAGATTCTGTGCTTGAAATAAAACAACTACTTTTATTTTCACCACCCAAAATTTCACTCCCTTTAATATACCCTCTAAAACAGGGAATACTATAGCAAAGATTCTCTGTTGAGTAATGTGGAGATTAAGTGTTGACAAGCTATAATTGAGAAGGGTTAGAGCAATCAATAGTTAGAGCGTATTCAAGAGAACATATTTAAGTAGAATTAAATGAATTCATTCAGAAAACTTAAGATATAATTAGTTACCTGATTTGATAACTTCAATAGTTGACTTAACTTGTATTCATTGAACAAATAAAGGCCACTTAGGCATGTCAGTCTGATAAATGTTGGAAGGGAAGAAAAATGTCCTTTATGTCTATGAGAATTTTATAGTATAATGAAAGAAGACTCACTTATAAAGCTAGTTGTAATAAGAGATAACAAAGACACCATAAAAAACACATCTTTTTAATGAAATGCTCATAAGTAGAAATATCTGAAAAATACCTCATGTAAGAACTCATAGATCCTTCTCCATCTATATTAGTGCATTGCAGAAGACAACTGGCAAAAGAGGAATTGTTATTTCTCGTTCAACATATCCTACTGGTGGACAATGGGGAGGACACTGGCTTGGAGACAACTATGCACAGTGGGACAATTTGGACAAATCAATCATTGGTATGTGAGTCACCATCTTTATCATTACTCCTTTGCGTTTTCTGTTAAGTATTCACTTTTTCTGGTAATAGTTTATATACTTTATAAGTCCTTCTCAGAAACATGCTTTTCACATCATATTTTATGGCAAATAGCATCATGAAAATGTAGTGTGCCAGAAAGTAGGAGCTGGGATGCTTTCTAGAAACTAATAATATCCAAATAGTTTATTTTGAGATAGTAATTTCATCCCTTTTGGTCTCAGTTCCCCAGGAAAAAGGCAGGAGCTGGGAAAATAACATGTGGAGCTAAGAATAGAAATGGGTCGAAATTCTAGATTCTAGGGAATAAGAATCACTCATAGATGCTAAAGAATGAAACATTTCTAACCAAATTTTGAAAGAGTGTTTTGACAATTGTTAGGTAAATAAGATATTATCGTTTTAAAGGGGAAATTGATACTTTTCATTTCAGATCTAGTCTTAAAATTACTTTACGTTTATATTAGGATTCAAGGAAATAATGTTACTACTTTAAAAGAAGAACTGGGATATCACATGAATCCTGTTTTATTGAAGTGATCTCAGAGGATTGTATTTAATGAGGATAATTCTTATTTGTTTGTTTTTTCCAAATAATGAGGCCTATGGTTAAATAATTACATAGATAGCCTTTTATATTATATTATATTATATTATATTATATTATATTATAT